ATCATCAATCATCAATCATCATATACAGGTGTATAAGGTGTATACAGGTGTATAAGGTGTATAAGGTGTATAAGGTGTATAAGGTGTATAAGGTGTATAAGGTGTATAAGGAGTCTGGAGTAGTCGGAGATATCAAAGTAAATAATATTGTTGGAAATATATCTATAAAAACTAAGAGTTAAAAGAACCAACCTGATTAGTTTATAAATAAGTGTAGGGTCTCTGTGAGCATCTGCCCCTAGAGTTTGTAGCATAGGGACCGCATCCTTACTAAACAATCAATAAATCAATCACTCAATTTTTCAATCAATCACTCAATTGAATCAATAAATCAATCAATTTACCAATCACTCAATCAATTTATTCAGCCAACCAACCAACCAACCAACCAACCAACATTAATTAATCAATCATGATCAATATACCTAAAGATCAAATTTTTGATAATTAAGTGGCAATATTAAGAACTGTTGAATCATCGATATCCTTATCATAATTAATATGTTTTTAAGATATGAATAATTACGTTTCAAAGAATACATTTTTATTTCAATTCATCCAAGTATCACAGAAAATCATATAAATTAAGGTTTCCTGTGCCTTGACTCAGACATTAATAAAATTTGTGATAAGCATGCACAGTGTATAAAATATTATATTACAAAACCATATTTAAAAACGAACCCCCAACTAAAGTTTAAATTGAAGACTTGCACATATTCCCACTACAATCAGCGAACCGTCAGTTGCAGTTTGAATTTCTCTATTTTAGATCAAAAACAGACTAACACATGTTAAGGGTTATCACCTGAGGTCCTCTAGAGTGTGTGCTTGAGGTGGGAACCTGGACCCAGGAAGAATCTCGTGATGCCTGCCGCAATAAAACTTTCAAGGCTCGTATATTTTTATTTTTTCCCCTATATGCTAAGGATATTGGCGGGGAACGGATTTACTTTTGGGGAAAATTAAAAATTTGTAAGGAAAAATTAATGACTTTTTAATAAGTAGGGTGAGTTCTGTGAGTTGAAGTTTTATTTTTTACCAAACCTATTTTTTTTAAATGAATTGAACTTATCTTTTATAGTTTTTATCATAAATGCTTGATAAAAACTTTTTAATTGTTGTTTTAATATTTTTTTAATATTGTTTTTTTTAGTTTTTCACCTGGCTCTAATTCTGGGGCAGAGATCGTTGTACTTGTGATAAACAGGGTCAATAGTTTTATGGATCAGTTCACTAAATATATTCATATATATAGTTCTTAGGATCCGGATCCGTATATAGTTCTTGGGATCCGCATCCTTTGGAAACGCAACAATTTGGCTTCATGGATCCGGATCCAGGCCAAGAGGCGAACAATCAACCAAAAACTGTAAAAAACCTTTTTGTTCTCAAAATCCCAAGTTTGAACTGTTAAAAAAGGAGAGGTTATTAAAAAATTCTTATCTCTGAATGGGTCATAAAGTTATGGCATAAAAATAAGCGAAAAAAGAAGAAAAATTATTTGAAAATTTTTTTTGTTAAAAAATCAGTGTAGCTTTAAGAAATGCTCATGACCTGGATCCGGATCCGGATCCGCATGAAAAAGTAAATGTAGTTAATTCAAATATTTTTTCTTAAAACACCGTTGCTTAAATTTTGCAGCATTTCGCTCTTCACCCCAATGATGATGTAATAATTTTAGTAGGACTTACCAAAGAGCCAATGCCACTTTAGGCTGTGATATACAGTAGGATTCTGGTAGATTCTTCAAGATCTCTTCTGCATAATTCAAACCACCAACCTTGAAACATAACAAATGAAAAAAAGTTTATTTTTTACCGAAAAAAAATCCTTTATATGTCTTATTAAAGTGATCAGATAAAACCTTTATCATAAACAATTGAGAAAGTATCAGAATTTATTTAAGCCAAAAAGCGACTTTATCTTTCATATTCTTGTATATCTCTCTCTAAGTGGAGGATCACCTAAAATTACGACGACATTCCCTTTAAAGCCCCCACCCCCCCGGCAACTAAATATATAATACCTTATACAATGCCGCCAATAGCCCTATCTTCTGATTGTTTGCATTAATATCCTTGTCTTTACTACCGTCCTAAAACATACATTTACAATTTTTGAAATCCAGATCTCCAGAACAAATGTAATAAGTAATTTCTACAATGTTCGGGTAAACCAGAAAATGGAACTTCTTTCCATCAGACATCAAAGAATCTTCTACTGTGAGTATCTTCAAAAGAAAATACGACAAATACAGAAAGAACAACAGTCAACAACTCTCAAGTAAAAAAAACCATCCTCAAAATAACTCTTATGTGAGTTCCTCAGGATTAACAAACAAAAAACAAACTAATGCCAAAAGTCTAATAAATCTAATTAACGAATTTAAATACTTTTTAAGAAAACAATTTTAGATTTTTTCAAGATTTTGAATTTAATTTTCAGTATTTTTGCCGATTTGAAATGAAATACACATTAGTTTTAAGACACATTTTAGATAGAATAAAACTTATGAATTTACTTAAGTCTTTATCTATGAAAAGCATCTTTCTACAGAAAACGCAGTGCTAAGGATTCGCTGCATTTTGGCTTTCTGGATCCGTGATCCGGATCCGCAGAATAACGAACCATAATCTGTTAAAAATTTACTTTTTGCTCTCAAAATCCAGATCTGGACTGTAAACTTTTTTTTAAAATATCTTAATCTTTTAATGCTTCATTTAGCTTCAGAATAGAAATAAGCAAATAATAGAAAATAAAAATTACAAATTTTTTATTTGTTCCAAAAACCAGTGATTCTTAAGGAAATATTTATGACCTGAGCTGAAAACTTTTGAATTGTGGATATTGAAATCTTCTTTCTCTTAATCTTCAAATTGATTTAATCTTAGTGCCTTATCAGAACCCGGGAAATTTAAAATTCTGTGCGCCATTTAATTAGAGAACTCTCATTGATCGGTATCCGGTAGGGATCCAAAAAGTGCGGATTAAGCTCTAAACATTTTCAAATCCAAACTTGACGAAATGTTCAAATAACTGGACCCCTATACTTGTGTATTTGAGAAGTGTGCATGGATAGCTAAACGCAGACGAGAACCAGGCAGACCAGAACACTACTCTGGAGGACATGGACTGATATTCCTACCATACTCCTACCTGGAGTCCTTGAAATTCCATCACAAGTAAACAAGTAAGTAAGCAGAAATCAAAAGTGTCCACAGTGGATATTTAGATTAAGCAATCGGTACTAAGGGTATCCAATTCAAAAGTTTTAAAAGCTCTGGATCAATTTTTTTTCCGAGCGGATCCAGAACAAATGAAATGTATCGTAATCACCGCAGAGAAATTATTTTAAGATCACCTTATTATCCTCGTCATTTCCCTTAGTCGACACAATATTCATCTTCCGTAGATATTCCTTAGCAACAGCCATCTCTTTTCCAGCTCTTGTCATCATCTCATCATCACTCGGTCCCAGCTGCATATTAATCAATTAATCAATATATACTTTCCAGCTCTTGTCATCATCTCATCATCAATCGGTCCCAGCTACACATTAATCAATTAATCAATATCTCCTTTCACACTCTTGTCATCATCTCATCATCACTAGGTCCCAGCTACACAAAAATCAATCAATCAATATCTACTTTCCCGCTCTTGTCATCATCTCATCATCACTCGGTCCCAGCTACACAGTTATCAATATCTACTTTCCCGCCCTTGTTATCATCTCATCATCACTCGGTCCCAGCTACACAAAAATCAATCAATCAATATATACTTTCTCGCTCTTGTCTAAATCTCATCATAACTCGGTCCCAGCTGCACAGCAAATAATCAAATCAAATTAACCAATTATTAAATTTATATATCCCTTTAGTCCACGACATAACCTCATCATCCCTACTTCCCAGCGATGCAATGCAATGCAATGCAATGAAAAAAATCACTCAACCCTAACCAACTGAACCGAAATATTATCAACCAAAATTGAATATTAGAACTATAAACCGTTGAAATCAAGATTTTTATAAAGAATTGTCAACCCCTTCATGGATATTAGGTGCAACAACTTGCGTTCGATGTCAGCCAAGAAAAACTCAGGAGACATCTGTGCCGGTATGAGTATTGAGTATGGTGTTAAGTACCCCAAAGGCTATTTCCCAAGGGCGACTTCCCAAGTGACAATCTCCCAAGTGGCAACTTCACTCTGGTTAGGTTAGGCCCTCTTAGGCGCAACAGGCTGCAATTGGGGCCGAGCGCTGAGGCAAGGACAGACTTGGGAAGTTGTCGCTTAGGAAATTGCACATTTGGGAAAAAGACCTTGGAAAGTTGCCACTTGGGAAAAATCCTTTGGGAAAGTATCTAACATCTTGAGTATGGCTACTATCCCCAGTGGTTCAGTCACACTGAACAAGGGTTGTCTATGTTTTTTTTCCTTTGTTATTCTCAAGATTCACAAAAAAAACTATCCAAATGACTAACGTCAAGGACACTGAAAATTCTGAATGAGATTGATAGAGAATTAACTTTTTACCCAAGGATAGACATCCTGTAAGGTGAGTATCTCGTGCTGAATGAGAAGAGCTGTCACGAGATACAAGGACTCTGGTGTGTTCTCGTCCTCGTTGTTCTCCTTGAAGGCGGAAAACTTGAAGTGGAGAAGTTCCTTCAAGGTCTCTCGATCAGGTAGAAACTCGCGTAGCAATCCAACAAAAAATTGGAACTGAAACAAAAAGTTTTAAACCTTACATTTCTTGACTGGAATTGTTTGTCCGATATCAAATGAAAAACTTTGTTTCATCAAAAATACATCAGATTAATTTTCAATTGACGTGTACTGTATATATCTGCTTCGAAAACAATGGAGCATATTGTCAGAATTTAACACTTTCCAAGCCAGAAAAATGTAAAGATATCTTCCACATTATTGATTGAGGTGTAAAGGGTCCCGTGGAGGAGGATCAATTCAAATTTTTCTTGAATCCCTTTAAAGGGATTGATCGCCAATGTATGATAGTTGAACTAAGAATGTAGTATTGTGGAGAAATTTTTAGGATTCATTTGAGACATAAAACACGTCTTAATGATGTACTATAATTACTGAGTTTGAGCGCAGAGTCGACGTTCAAAATCATCCATTTGGGTGGAGAGAATAGATTTTTATTTAATTATTAATTAACGACGAAAAATGTATCAAAAATTCTACAATAAACTAATTAAATGTTTGAAAATATTATAAATATTACGTTTTTTGCTCCCGAGATCCCCAGTCAAAAGTTGAGGCAAATCGGTCAAGGGGATAATGAGTTATGATCGGACATACAAACAAACAGACAAACAGAGATTGCGACTTCATAAGGTACAGGACATGATACTTTGACTGTAGGTTGAATAATAAAAATAAATAGAATAAATATGATAAATATAATAAATATAATAAATATAATAAATATAATAAATATAATAAATATAATAAATATAATAAATAAAATAAATATAATAAATATAATAAATATAATAAATATAATAAAAAATACCTCGTTAGGCTGGCACTCGAATGATTCTAGTATTATATCCAGAACTCTGTTGGGATCCAGGTTAAAGTATCCAATCAAAGATTTAATAATCTCAAGCATACTATCTTTGCTCACGGATGATAGATCCTTAAAAATATATTATTATTCAAATCTATTGAACATGAAATAATAGTTTCACATAGGAAATCTGTGAGAGCACATATGCGATAAATTATGAAATCAATCACTTACATATTCATCCGGGACATCCATAGCGCAAAAAGTTAATAAAATTGCGTATTTTCATAAAGGTTAAAAACCCATTCAAGTAGTTTGTAAGAGTTTAACAGGTTTAGTCTAAACAATTAAAAATGTTTTTTTGCTAAATATTTATTCTCAAATCCCTGAATTATCTATAAAGTATTAATTTAAAATTTAATATTAAAATTATAAGCAAATCAAAATTAAAATTTAATTTCTCTACCTGGTTGAGTTCAGTAATAAGTTTAGCATATCCTTCACTCTCCTCACGGAACAAATTAAACTTCTGCTGTTTGTAACTAAAAATACCAGAATATTATATAACTAGCTCAAATGGCCGGCGTTGCCCGTGGAATTTAAAAAAATCTTAATATTAAAATTTTGATATATTAGCCTATGTTACCCCAGGGTACCCATGGGTTTCATCAAAAAATGTCAACCAATTTGGTCTAGCTCTTCGGCCAGCTTTAACTGACATATATATATATGAGCTAGGAGCTTTATAATATAGATATAGAAAATCCTTATATTAGTCAGTTTTTTACAGGTTCCATCGGACAAATTAGATCAATATGTTGTCAGCTTCATTTTTAAAATTTACTGTCACAGCAAACGCAGATGGGCAGATTTTTAAAGATCTGGAGGAAACTAAGAAAAGAACATCAAAAGGCTGATTTAATTTCTTATTTTTGTATCCAAAAATTTATCTATTTTCCCCATTTTAGCGAATAAAACCCAAATTATACCTAACTTCAGGGAGAAAATAAATGATTTTTATATTGACTAGCCAAACTAGTTATTTTACAATTATTTATCGACATCAAATAATATTAATTCATTATTTTGTTGTTTCATATACGTGTAATTTCAAGTGACCCTCCATTTAAAGATGGCTATGCCCGATTAACAACATAATCATTAATCTAGGTCCACAAACAAATAATTTTTTTGAATTATTACATGAAGTTATATTTTATAAAATTTTGTGTGGACTATAATATTTTTTTCATTTATTAATTATTTTTTTGAAATACACCACGTACATTTATGAAAAAAAGGAAAAGATGAAAAAAATAATTAAGAAAAAACTTACAAAAGTTTAGTCTTGAGTTTAATAACAGTATTGAAAAACTTCTTTGGATTCTTCACAATACCAGAGTCTCCCAACAGATCAAACTCTAGTCGTTCCTGAACATCGACATCGACATCAACATCATCGTCGACTACAACGTAATCATCAAAGTTGACATCAACGTCGACATCAAGCATAAACGTCGACATCAAGCAATCATCAATCATCAATCATCAATCATCAATCATCAATCATCAATCATCAATCATCAATCATCAATCATCAATAATCANATCAAGCATCAAGCATCAAGCATCAAGCATCAAGCATCAAGCATCAAGCATCAAGCATCAAGCATCAAGCATCAAGCATCAAGCATCAAGCATCAAGCATCAAGCATCAAGCATCAAGCATCAAGCATCAAGCATCAAGTATCAAGCATCAAAAACTCGTAATAAATGAACAAGAAAAAAATGATCAGAACAAAAAGATAAAAGGCCAAATATTTTTTAAACAAGTTAAGGAGAATATTATTATAAATTTTGAATTTGACCTTGACAAGACTGTCGGAGAGGAACCTGGTGACCTCCTTGACAATATCTGCCAACCTTTTCCGGTCATCTTTCTTCCCATCTTCTACCTGGAAACAACAATCAAGGGAACAATCAGTGTTTTAGAATCAGCATCAAAATGAAATGGTGACGAAGAACTGTCTGAACTCTATAAAAGAAACTTCTATTGCTGGGCGGAGAATTTGGTTTATCTAAGAGATTTGTCGAACTTTTGACAGCTCTACACAAATTTGTGAATTTTAAGATGATTTTTTTAGTATTCCTTCTTAATCATAATTAAAGAAGAAAAGTTTCTAGAAATACATCTAACTGGTTTAAGTAGTATAAAAACAAATACCGAAAATATAAATGAACATATAGATTGTTTTTATGGAAAAATCAAAACCAAAATCTAATGTAAAAAGCGAAAGAAAAGAAAAAGAATATGAAAATTCTTCATTTGTTTAAAAAATCCAGAATCCTGATCCTAAGCAAGCAATGGAAAAATGTTTTTGATATACCTGTGTTTCAACATCAGCCAAAGCAATGACGTCAACAATAACATTTGCCATTTGTGTATTGTTGGAAACCAATTCCCCAACACAGGACACAACTAGATCCCTCCTCATCTGTAACAAGTGTATTGGTATCATATCAATTAGACTAATGATTGATCGATTGGACTTGATATGATGTAATCTTAATATTTGAGGGTTAGGTTAGGACAATTTCTGGGCCAAGTGGTGCGGCTAGTGAACAGCTGACTTGAGTGCAATTGAATAGGCTATTGGTAAAATTTCCATTCTGAATATTGGCCATTCAAAACTACTCTTTGCCCCCTGTTTGAAAGCCAAGCTTCGATCCATCTCAAAATATCACCATTTATACTATGGGCTTTAAGTTTCTCAAGCAATCTGTTTTTAGGCACTTTGTCAAAAGCCTTTGAGGAGTCTAAAAATATAATGTCCATAGAATGACCTTCATCCTGCAGGCTGGTTATGACCTCCAGAAACTCCAATAAGTTAGTAAGGCAGGACTTCTGCTTCATAAAACCATGTTGACTGGGGTTAATAAGATTATTTTTCTGTAAATGGTCGACAATTTTATCCCGTATGATGGACTCCATGGTTTTACAGACAAGGGAAGTTAATGAGATCGGACGATAGTTTTCAGGTTTACATTTAACACCTTTCTTAAAAATTGGGGTCACATTGGCTAGTCGCTGTACCTGTCCTCTGATCCCCTGCCATATTAGATCGTAGATGAGTCGGTCCAGGGTAGAATCCGCAGTTCCCAGTAATCCTTTATTACCAATTGTACACTCCTTCACTTCTTTCAAACTAGAAACAGAAAAAGTGAACTAAAATAGGAAATATATTTTCTTGAAATCCCCCCCCTTTTCAAAAAGAAAAAAATTGACAACTCAAATCCAAATTTCCTTGGAAGCAGGTACCACCATAGAAAAATGGAGTATTTGTATTAAATAACATTTATTGGTACTCACAATTCCTGCTTTCCCGTTTTCTCCCAATCCGTCCACGCTTCTTCGGACAGAACGCCCATAGTTTATTCTGAAATTAACTTTATTTATAAATATCAGGTAGTGATTTCTGTCCGTCTTCAGTTCTGTTTGTTTGTTTGTACGTCCGATCTATAACTCAGGAACCCTTGGTCCGATTTTAAACCTGTGGCTGATGTAATTTGAAAATTGAAGGTGACACGCCTCATTACGCTTGTGTACATTACTATCGAAGTGTACACTATGAGATTAATCAGTATGGAGCCGACCATCACTAAAGATGGCTTAAAAGCATCACAGAGAGACTAGTGTCGGAAGTTCAAGAGTCCCGAGTCCGCATGACAGTAGTAAACTAAAAGTCCAAAGGCGAGATTCTAGTGTCGAGTGTCCACAGAAGGAGAGTCCAGGGTCAGAGATACAGAGCTGAGTTTGATATCCATCCTCGAATTGAACCAAGCGCAGTAAAAATAAATCTTGAACGTTAATTTAAGTTTTTACCTATATTTTTATCTTTGGGGTCCGTCCTAGTATACGATTTGTGTAACCCCCCCCCCCCGCTCCCATAAATTTATTACAAGACTAACAGTGCTCGGCCCCATAGCCTGTCCTAGCCGGAGCGCTCGGCCCAGAAAGTGTCTTAACCTAACCTAACCCTAAATATATACTAGTTTAGTTGAAAATTGTTGATATCGTAGGTATGTCCTGGCCGCAGCGCTCAGCCCCCTAGCCTGGCTTTGCTGCAGCGCTCAGCTCAGAATTTGTCGCGACCTAACCTAACCCTGAAATAATTCAAAATTAATATTTTTTGTTGAAAATAGTTGAAATCTAGGTCAAGTGCAAAATTGATAGGAGTGGGGGAATCCATAAATCGTATACTGAGACGTCGGCCTCTAATTAAATCCATGTGTTACATATGAGATCCATGTACAAAATTATATGAGAGGAAGGGGTGGTACAAAAATCGTGCACTAAGAGGTTACCAACCGTTGTTAGTATTTAGATAAAACTTATCGCTATGAAATTATTTTGGATTAAAACTATGAAGAAGGATATAAGATACCGCTCGAGAAACCCGACTCATGCACCGGCTTAATTTGTTTGTTTAAACTAATGCCGTGTTAATTTAAGATTTTAAAGGCATCAAGTTATTGGTGCAGCGTGCCTTTCCCCCATCAGTCAGCTAAAAAGCAATTCAACAAAATATTTAATCTCTCAATTTCATCCGTTGTAGTGACGAAATATTAAGAAACATGAAATAAATTGAATCCACAGCATATAAAGTAAGCATAAAGCCCTAAAACTAATCAAGAATAACGAACAGAAAATATAATACAGATCGTCTGCTTAATGTGTGCCATTAATTGCGTGCAATCAATTGTTACAAAATTAATATCAGTTTTGGTCGGCCAAAACTTTGTCGGACTCGGCACTGTTTTCTGCACAAATGCCGCGTTGTTGTTCTTGGGACAAGACCAATCGTCTTTGTTTTGATGGGTGGTGTATTTTTCGACCTACGCAAATCCGCTATACTCCACTTCTGACCTACGCCAAATCCGTATACTACACATCAAACCTACTAGCACGTGGTTTTAAAGCTGCTATATGGACTTGTGGCCACAGTGCTGGGTCCCCTAGCCTGCCCTAGCCGCGGTGCTCGGCCCCCCTAACAGCAGTCCTAGACACAGCGCTCGGCCCAGAAACTGTCATAACCTAACCTAACTCTCAAATAATACAAAAATAAACAGCTGGCGTAGGTCCGATATTGCAGTAGGTCGGAAAGTTAGTAGGTCAGAAGTTCAGTAGGGGGGATGTTGCGTATATGGACGATGTAACATTACCGTTGGGTGTCATTTCAAAGGAGGATTATACAGAGCGTCCCATATCATATTAGATTATCTCTAATCTTTAACGACAAAATAAACCCTTAATACTCGAAAAACTTATCATTTTCCGCGAGAAAATTATTATATAAGCCTTATGTTATTTTTCAAATTGATTTATTCTAATTAAATTTTCTTATTAGTCCCGAAAATCGCAATTTAGACCTGTTGATGGTCTAAATAGACATTTATAGGACCAATCAGAAAACTAAAAAGAGGAATAAGTCAGCTCCAAGAGGAAATTATCACCACAGCAAGTATAGTCCCTTTATAAAAGTACATGAAATATTTTACATCAAGAAGTCCCTTTTTAAAAGTACATGAATATTACAGCAAGTAGTCCCTTTATAAAAGTAAATGAATATTACAGCAAGACGCCCCTTTATAAAAGTATATATGAAAATTACAGCAAGTATAGTCCCTTTACAAAAGTATGAATATTAAACAGCAAGTATTGTCCCAATTTATAACAGTACATGAATATTACGGCAGGCCCATGCAAGGGGACAGGTGCAACCCCCTTTTTATATAAGTTTTTTTGGTAAATTTATCCTGAAAAATTGAGATATTATCATTTAAAGTTTTCTAAATCTGTTATCATCCTATATCGTTCGACCACAAATCACGTCACAACTCACCATTATTTCTTCCGACCACGCCTTTTTTCGTCCGGCATTGTTTACAATCTTTTTTAAGTACTTTAAATTATTATGTTAGAATCTTGAGCCTCGTCATGTTGTTTACAATGGTTTTGAAGGTAACAGTAGGTATAAAACAATTCATGCAAATCCTTGTTTCACAAACCCTCAAGCAAATTAAAACAAATTGTTATGTTCCCTTCTAAAAAAAATTTCAATTTTTATTTGTAGATCCTAGAAGTCTCAGTGCACTTTTACCTGAAAGTTGCAATTCAGGAGTAAAAAAAGAAAACATCATTTCTGGACGAAAAATATATGAGATATACATACATAAAATGCAGTAAATATGTTCTAGTATGTATGTATCATAAAATTCAATTATTAAAATTTTGTAGAAACTTGTTTCCTCAGTTTCAATATTTTGTCCAGACGTTTCAAAATCAGTGAACGTGAGTAGAATTATCAAAACTAAGAACATTTCATGTTATCCTATATTTTAAAATTTGAACTAAAAACTAAGTTATGAAAATTTTCCTTGTGCCCTATTACACAAAACATCAAATTCAGGTAAAATCTACTTTTCACTGTAACATTCCGTTCAAGCTTAAATTACTAGTGATGTTGACAATTTAGAAAATATCCTATATAATATAAATTCAAGCTACAATTACTCGATTTTACACCAAAATTATGAAAATTTTCTATGCAAAGGGACTCCCCCTGCATCCCCAAGCCTCGTTCACTACGTTTCACTCGGTGCTTCTGAGTCCCCACTACAACACCAACACCCCTCTTTTCACCCCCTCAGGGAAAATCCTGGTTACGGGCCTGTTTAAATTACAGAAAGTATAGTCCCTTTATTGAAGTACATGAATATTTCCCCCCCCCTCCGCCTCGTTCACTGTGTTTCACTCGGTGCTTCTGGGCATATACATACTATAAAACACCCCTCTTTTCACCCCCTCAGGGAAAATCCTGGTTACGGGCCTGTTTAAATTACAGAAAGTATAGTCCCTTTATTGAAGTACATGAATATTACACCAAGTAGTCCCTTTACAAAATTACATGAATATTACAGCAAGTAGTCCCTTTATTAAAGTACATGAATATTACACAAAATAGTCCCTTCACAAAATTACATGAATATTACAGCAAGTAGTCCCTTTATAAAGGTACATGAATATTACACCAAGTAGTCCCTTTATAAAGGTACATGAATATTACACCAAGTGTCCCTTTATAAAAGTACATGAATATTACACCAAGTATAGTCCCTTTATAAAAATACATGAATATTACACCAAGTAGTCTCTTTATAAAAGTACACGAATATTACACCAAGTAGTCCCTTTATAAAAGTACATGAATATTACACCAAGTAGTCTCTTTATAAAAGTATATATGAATATTACATTAAGTAGTCCCTTAATAAAAGAACATGAATATTACAGGAAGTATAGTCCCTTTATAAAAATACATGAATATTACACCAAGTAGTCTCTTTATAAAAGTATATATGAATATTACATTAAGTAGTCCCTTAATAAAAGAACATGAATATTACACCAAGTATAGTCCCTTTATAAAAATACATGAATATTACACCAAGTAGTCTCTTTATAAAAGTACACGAATATTACACCAACTAGTCCCTTTATAAAAGTACATGAATATTACACCAAGTAGTCCCTTTATAAAAGTATATATGAATATTACATTAAGTAGTCCCTTAATAAAAGAACATGAATATTATAGCAAGTATAGTCCCATTATAAAAGTATACATGAATGTTACAGCAAGTATAGTCCCTCAATAAGATTTTATGAATATTACAGCAAGTAGTCCCTTTATAAAAGAACATGAACAAGAATTGCAACGAACATCAGCTTATTAAATTCAAGCAAAAGTCTCTTAATTTAAGAAATGCAATCAGTATATAGTCTCTTTCTAAAAGTCCATGAATTACAACAAACTATCCTTCAATAAAATACCTGAATAACAACAAACAATCCCTCTATAGAAGTAAATAAATAACTACAAACAATTCTTCTATAGAAGTAAATAAATAACAACAAACAATCCTTCTATAGAAGTAAATAAATAACAACAAACAATCCTTCTATAGAAGTAAATAAATAACAACAAACAATCCTTCTATAGAAGTAAATAAATAACAACAAACAGTCCTTCTATAAAAATACCTGAATAACAACAAACAATCCTTCTATAAAAGTACCAAAATAACAACAAACAATCCTTCTATAGAAGTAAATAAATAACAACAAACAATCTTCTATAAAAGTCCATGAATAACAAAAAACAATCCTTCAATAAAAGTCCATGAAAAACAACAAACAATCCCTCTATAGAAGTAAATAAATAACAACAAACTATCCTTCTATAAAAGTACCTGAATAACCACAAACAATCCTTCTATAAAAGTACCTGAATAACAACAAATAATCCTTCTATAAAAGTACCTGAATAACAACAAACAATCCTTCTATAGAAGTAAATAAAAAACAACAACTATCCTTCTATAAAAGTAAATAAATAACAACAAACAATCCTTCTA